ATCTGTGTTTAAGTTTTCTCTATTTAAAGTTTATTTTTTTATTTATATATACTGTATTTTGTTTTTTTTTATAACGGTAAAATTATTAGTACTTATTAATTACTAGTAGTTATTTATTGCAGTTGTTGTTTTTTTTTTCATTTTACTTATCTCAGTAACGTTGAATTAATACAACCATTAATATGAATGCAAAAATTATATATGTACCAAAAACAAAAAACAACAAAAAATTTGCAACAACAACTGTATTGTCATGTATCATACCAGTATGTAAAAAATTTATTCAAATTGATAAATTATTAAATTTGATTATAAAATTAGTTTAATATAGTTTTTTCGAACTATTTTTCTTATTAGATCAGATTATACTTACAATTTTTGTGCAAAGGTAAATGCGTTCCTGTAGGAAATTCGATTAAAATTACAAATTGTTACCGCAGGAAAGGGTATTGTCCAAGCTGGGTATGTGCTGCTTTCCGTATATAAAATTGTCGGAGTGTTAACATTCATTAAATGCCACATAACCAAAAAAATAGTGGACATTAAAATGGCAATGAATATAACAAGACACCAAAGTATGCGCTGCCAAGTTTTTGCTCCCACAAAATTCACAAAGCCATGAATACTGGCCATTTCACAATAAATTTCAAAACCCGTCTTACGTTTGCAAAGGCCATCATCATTCCGAGCAAGTAAAAAGGCAAGAAAGCCCGGCAAATGGAAATGGTTACGGAGAGACTTATATATTTTGTAGATGCTGCCATTGTTAAGAATGTTCAATTTATTATTTACTGGGTCTTCCTTTTTCTCTTTGATCGTTAGGTTTCTTTTTTTAGGGTGTTGGAACTTTGCCAATTTCGCATAGTAAAAATTCCTTAAAAATAACCGACAACGTTGCCATATTGTTGATTTGTTTGCACTTACAAATACAGGATGCTCCAAAAGTATTAACCTTAGCTCCGGTTTTCGTTTAATGTTCTCATCTATCAACAAAAGATTATCCTTTTTGTGAGGTTTCCTTGGTGGTTGCAAATAATCCTCAAACACAACGAAGTAAATTTGTTGTTTTTGAGATTTGATTTGCACCATGTTGCAGTATCCGATGGTTTACTGAAATGAATCTAAGCTCATTCAAGTTCAGTTTCCATTTTATATAGACAATATCCAGTAATTGAAATTACAATTCGTTTACATAGCGACAGCCCTTTTGTGGTAGTCATTCATAGTAATTTCCTAAATCGATTTCGAAGTGCTTATCATGCATGCAGTACTTTGATAATTACTACCTTGATAACTCTAACATTATTTCTTGTATGTCAACGATTCAAAATCAAGAATAATTTTTACTTATTAACATGTAAAGAACATAGTTTGTACGTCTCTGCAGACACTAATATCGTCTAATTTAAGATAATTTTGTCAAACATTGTTTTGCGTTGTTAAATTTTGCGTGATTACCAAAGCCTGATGAATGTTGTTATTGTCTTCGTAAAATTAGCTGAAAGTTTGATTTACTATTATATTAAATTAATATATAATTATTAAATATATTAACATATTTTCAAAAAAAGAAACAAAGTAAAATTATTTTATTAATAAGAAAATTCAAAAAAAAAAATTAAATTACATAAAATAACTAGAAAAAAATATATTATTAAAAAAATAAATACAGAAAGAAATAGTCGAAAAACACAAATAATTGAAAGAAATAATTAAAAAATAATTATAAGAATTTAAAAAAATTAAAATTACTTAAAGGTAAAATAAAAAATGTGGTACAGTTTTAGTATTATTTTGAGAAAGTGTTTTGAGTATTTAAATAAGTCGTTCGCAGAGATTAGTTGGTTGATCGAAGATATTGGTTTTTTAAATACTAACTATTACTTATAACTAAATTTAACTTTTAAGACACTATGACATAGTGTTTATGTAAAAGAAACGAACTCAGAAATGACATCACTGCGTAATACTAGTCATGTGTTCAAGGTATCAATTAATTCATTTTATCAATCTGTATGGTTTACTTAGAAGATTGGTTTTATATAATGAAGTAAGTACACATAATAAGTGTTGATAATCTATGTTTCATGTTAAACCATGCAAAGATCAGTGGCACTTAATTTTAACTAAATAAATTACAAAAATATTAGTTTTCCTAATGTAAGTGTTATTAGCTATCAACCGCTATCAAAACCGCTATAATAAATACACTTTAATGATTATTTTTGTAAGACTTTTATTCCAGAATACCCACCTTAAAAAATAATTATTTGCTAGCAATAAATAGGACAATATTTACTTAAAATTAACATCTGAGAAAATTTATTAAATTTCTTTTAAAAGATTTTTATAAATGTAAACATGTTTATACCATACGAGTATAACCAATAAGTTTTCACATGGATAAAAGTATAAAAATTTTATCATACTGTGTTCGGTAGTTTGGTTCCGTTCGCTACTATAAATTATCGCTCACGCCCATGAGTAATAAATAAACAAAAAATTCGATTGTTTTTCTTAAAAATTCTTAAGCTACTTTGCCTTGGAAAATTTTATAACAAATAATATTATTAATAACAATATTTCGAAAATAAATGATCAAAACAATTAAATTTGTATTATTCATGCTTCCTGAAATATGCTCAATAATTCCAAGATATTTATTGTTTCTATTTGTTTGGTATTTGTTTTGTTAAAACAATAACATTTTATGGCCTATTTTTTCATTAATACTATGCGTATATAAACATATATGAACACAATATATTTCTCAAAAAGAAATTTTTAAAAATAGGATTCCATCAATTCCATTAGCTTAAAAATTTGAAGTCCCGTTTCCATTATAATAAATGGACAGTCAGACGGTCTGAATGGTCAATAGTAAACCGACCCACCCTTTTCTGCTGATCATAAATATATATACTTCTCCATGTTTTTTAGATTGCGTTACAAATATATTGATAAATTAAAAATATCAGTATGTGAGGAGATTAAATTGGTACAACCAAAATATAAAATTAAATTACATATACATTAAATAAAAATATATCTTAATTAGTTGATATGAATATTCTATCTATTCTTTGTAAGAGTTTTTATAATCAAAATTGAAATTAGAATATTATTTTCCACTAATTATACACATCAAATTACGAGGTATTTGCTTAAATTATTATTAAACACTACCCATACATTCACGAGTAATAATAATCTGGTGATCAAGTAGCAATTTATAACCTGAAGATCAAATAACCTGAAATTGTTTAGGAAAACTAAGAGAATAAGCCAATGTCTTGGAGAAAAAGTTTTAGGGTTGTATATTGTAATGAATCATGAATTTAAAGTAACATCATCCTTCAATTATGGTATATATCTTAAACCGATAGGTGTTGCACCTATCGATACAATTATGTATCTTAGGACACACATAATTACTTGAAGCCATTCATTTCTACTATAATTTATTTATAATATTAAAAAACAAAAAATCGACGATATATTTACGTAGAGTACTGGTAAGAGACTTGTTACCTTCATGGTTCTGGAGAAACTACAAGCATAAATTTTACGCAAGATCTTTATGTGCAACAAAAGTCGAATAATATTCCGTTCTAATAATGCGCTTCAGTAAGGAGATGCGTGAAAAGATTGTGTAGATCAGCTTGTCCAAATGGTATTCGCTTGTAATTAGAATCAGTGGAAATGCTTATTTAACGAAATAGTGACTAATATCGATTACATTACCGATTAAATAGTAAGCAACTTTCTATAAACCACAGTTTAAAAACAATTGAAATATTAGTAAGAAAAATTTAAAAAAATTTTTTTTTTAACTTACATCAATACTTTCGTTGCTATCTCGCTTTTTTGTGTTGGTTTTATAAGTTGTGAAGTTAATCTCTGTGTTTACATTGTTGCAAGCCATTGTGTAACAGCTTCACTGTTTATCCATACATCAGTATTAACCACCATTGCGTCTGGACATATTTGTGGTCGTAATCTGTTAAAGATGTCTAAGTCTAATTGGCGACAAGAGATGTGACCTAGTAAAATATTGTCCAATTCGCTGCGCATATAAACATATACTTCTATGAGTTCGGGTTCTGGTGAAGGCATTGTTATTATTATCACCGTTGATTCATCAACTGTATTAATGATGGGAGCTAATAAAGTCCCAAAATTGCATTTATTGAACATTTCTAGAACTTGTGCATCAGTCATTAGATTTATATCTTGTGACGCCATGATGAGAACTAAAAATATTTGATTTATAAAAAGTCTACAAAAACTGCACATTTATATTAAATAAAACAACTCACTTTATGTCCTTTAAACTTCGCAGCTCACCCAAGTTTTTCTCTGAAGTTTCGAATACGTCTATTGATCTGTTGTGCGTGGTCTATTTTTTTATCTTGTGCTATTAGAACATTTGCAAAAATATATCGTTTATACTAAAATTTTGTTAAGTCCAAAAAAGTATATGTGCATTTTAACTTTTAAATTTTAATTGAATGTTTAATATTTTGTTATTAACATGAAAGTAAAAAATGACAGGTTGCTTTGTTTATTTTTTAATATATATATAAATATTTTTTTATAACCAATATATGGATTTATTGATTTTTTTTGTGATTTATTCATTAATTGTAAAATTGATTACAAAATTATATTACAGATTTATGGTCATTGAGATACTCAAGAGCTCTAATAATAGTCACCTCTGGTGTTCCATTCAAAATAGCGCAAGTACTCTGTCTCATTATTTTTACCTTTTTGGCTTTATATCCCTAAAAACTAAGATGCAAATAGTTACATATCGTCACACTTGTAAACAATAACTAATAAATGACTGACATCACCTGACTGTGTTGCCAGCAGTTTGAAAATTATAGCAGCTTATTTAAAGCTTCTGCAACAAGCCTTTAACCTGTTTTAATTGGGTTACATTGCAAGTTTGTACACTCGTGTAATATAAACTATATAAACCCAACCTAATTTAAAATCTTTTTTACAGAGTGTACAATTATTTATACTCAGTTCAGTTTTCAAAGTAAATATTTGTGTTATTTAGAATTTATGAATGTTTAGGTTTTAATTATGGCATTACATGACTAAGTAAACTAATATTCGCATAAATCTTAAACACTCAGGGGTATCTTTACATAGCAAACAATTATAGTTTGAAAATTTATGCAACCATTAGCAACGAAATGCGAGTAAATATTTATTTATACAAAATACGGGTACACTTTATACATTTGTAATTATCAAGAAAAATTAACTTTTACCATTGAAAATTTTGGATAGACATAATTTCATTGGAAGTCTGATTTACTATAATTTAGGATGTTCAATAATATTTAATATAAAAAACAGGAAATCAATTTTAAGCTTACTTTGGACGTCTATATTATTCTGTTATTCTGTTATCTCTGCGAAATTTTACTGTATTAAGTTATTTAAAGCGTTCACGTTAATTTAATCCATTTATTTAATAAGTTAAAAGATCTATTAAAACTGATTCCATTTGGGGTATGGTTTAGTAGCTCTCTTAAAACTTTCAAAGAACTTTCCGATACATAACAGTTCTTGAGTGATTTTTAAGGAATGGACGCCTTGTAGTCAACAACCTGTTACGACGATCACGAGTTATGCTTATTTCCGATCTCAGCTCTGCACAATAGGATTTTCATTGTTGTTAGGTCGTGCTCGTTTAAATTTTTAGTATATATTTCTCTGTTGAGTATGTATTTGCAATTTCATTTTTTTGTATATTTTGGTACTCTGAAGCCCAAATCAGTAATATTATGCACTAACTACTCATTGACCTCAGTTAAGTTTTCCAGTGTTTGTATTGTGGCAATAATACATTAATTTTTTAGATTTTCTACTGAAATTAACCGACCTATTTTCTCGACAGCAAGGACGTTGGCTTAATAAACAATAGACCCGATATATTGGGTTGGGTTCCTATTCGAAATCAATGACATTCTTTACACATTTTATTCCTGATTGCAGAAACAATTGTATTGATTGAAATAGTGCTCCTTTTAGGTTGAAATCTAATTACCACATGGTAATCCTTTATTGTGGAATTCCATAGTACAATCAAGTCAAAAAATAATCTCTTGTTTCAATTCAAATTTTTTTAACATTATTTAGTTTTTTCTTCGCCGTTTTTAATTACAACTGTAAAATTATCGTTTTGCACTTCATGAAGTTGACATGAAGTGACAATTGACGTCACGGCAAAGTCTACAATGAAAAATTAAATTCAAAAACAAAATTTCTTTATTTATTTACGGACATCAAAAGTGTCAATTTAATTACAATTTATTGTGAAATCAGAGATGATACATTACAGAATATGTACTTCGAGCTACCCACTAATAATAATCTTTTCTTATATGGATTTAGAAAACCGCATACGAGTAAATCTAGAATAATCATATTATACATTATGTTGGACTAAAGCAAATTTTATGACGTCAGTATGAATGTGCATATACCATATACTAATATAAATGAATTCTTTTTATTACTAATTACATTTTAATGCCAATAAATCTGACATGCAAATTCAGTATATAGCAACGAAATATAAGAGTAACTTTTTTTGTTTGAATCGATCTTAAATCGAATATAGTATTTTTAACACAAGTATCTGTACTTGTTCAGAAATACATAGTAAAACATCTGCACATTTTATGTGGTCATGCTCTGTCGCTTGCAAGTGATCGCTCGAGTCAGTATACTTCACCGATTTTAGTTTAACTGACAGAAATCTAGAATTTGAAACTAAAGGAAGGATATTGCATGGTTTATCAATAATCTACATCTATTAGTGCTGTAGGGTATTAGATTAAGAATTGATCAGATAATTAACAAAATCCTTCTAATAATATGTTTCCACTGCTTACTTAGTAAGTGAAACTTATAATAACCATACAAAGAGTTCTGCGGTTTTTAACTTACGTTCCTTAATAAAAAAGGAAAGTGAGGCCAAAAATGTCGATTGCAATCCTTAAAAATAAATTTTCCACAACGGAAGTTACCGAAATTTAAAATATTTATCATATGCTTTGTATGTAAAATGTAAACAAACAACAGCTGAACTGTAAACAAACGTACTGAGTATGTGAGTATTTAATAAAATCTTTGTTTATATTAATTGAATACGTAATAGATTTATAAAATATTTATATATGTAAATAATTTAATACCATATATCAACAAAGCATTTCATTTCTTGTTTGATATATTAATGAGTAAAATTTTTCTAAACAAGCAGAAGCTCTCTTAAAAGTTTCAAAGAACTTTCTGACACATAACAGTTCTTTCCCATGCAATGAGTGACTTATGTCAAAAAATGGAAACGACAAAATCTTAAAAATACTTAAGTAACTTACTAAGTACGCAGTGGACAAGAACGCATTGTATAAGTAATGTATAGTAGTATAATATATATATACATAAAATTTTCTATCAGAATTCCTATATATATACTTTACCACCAGTTTCAGTTTCTAACTTCATCTTATATATATATTTCTTCTGTACGTGTGTTGACAGTGAACTCCTCCTAAACGGCTGAACCGATTTTGATGAAATTTTTTGTGTGTGTTCAAGTGGATTGAAGGAAGGTTTAGATTCACCATTTGGCCCACTGGATAATGTCTTTTTAATTAATTTTTTATTTTTTGGTATCCATGTACATTTATATCAGAAATTTAAAATTTATTCATGTTTACTTTGATTTGTTTAAAAAGTTTAAAATCTTTAAAATGAATCGTAAAACTGCCGTTGCATAGCTTAAATGCATTTAAATTCCGCAGTATAATTATAGGTGAGCCAATTTTTAATCTTAAGTTATGTGGAATTTCCAGCGAATTCAAAAATTCAACAGGATAGTTGAACGATTCATTTTAGAGTTTAAACTTTTTAAACAAATCAAAGTAAGCATGAATAACTTTTAAATGTCTAATATAAATGTATATGGATACCAAAAAACTGTATAATAATTAAAAAAACGTTATCCAGTGGACCAAATTGTGAATCTAAACCATCCTTGAATTCACATGAACACACACAAAAAGAGGAATTATATATATAAAGATATAAATAACGTACAAAAAACAATGCCACGTCTTCGTGGACAAGGAAGAAATATTGGTCGACGGATTCGGAATTCACAATTAATTCAGAACCGTCGGTTAAATAGATCGGCAGAAAACAATGAAAATGTAAGAAACCAGGATACAATCACACGTGCTAATGAAAGTCAAGAGCAACGCAACGAACGCCCTCGAGCTAATGCAATGAGACAAAGACTGGCCCGTCAACGAGTCACCGACACATTCAGAACACGTGAACAACGACGTTTGCAAGTGTATCGGGCATTCACACGTGCATCATTTCATCGCCTTGCGTTTAAATATGAATCGGATATCGACTATTCGTCACATTCACGAATTGTAATCGGTGCTATGAACAAACAGTGCCAACACTGTCATGCACTCCAATACAAAGGTGAATCGGCCGATTTCTGCGACGCATCTGGAAAAGTTGTATTGCAACCATTGAATTCGCCGCCAGAATCATTGAAAGCACTATTGGCTAGACCTACATCTCAATCTAAATTGTTTTTTCGTAAAATTCGCAAATTCAATTCGTGCTTTCAAGTGACATCATTTGGAACAACAAAAATCGTTTAGAATGAGAATGGTCGCAATTTTCAATCAACGTTTAAGATTCGGGGCCAATGTAGTGCTTATAAGGATTTGAAGTAACATGAAAATATTTGTAACATAAGTAATGCATGTGGACTTTTTGTAGATCAAAAGAAAAAATCAATTCAAAATAATTTTCGCATTAAAATGCTAAAGGTTAAGTTGAATAACAACAAATATTATAACTCAGCTGAGCCAGGAAAATTAATTGCAAGGAGAAACAACGTTCGCCGGGTCAGCTAGTAATTTATAAATTTTGTGTGTTGAAATTTAGATTTTTACAATATCTAATTAATATTATTTGTTCTTTTACCAGAAGTGCAATTTCTATTGCTTATATATTTATCTTAAGCAGAGTGGAAAGTGGTCGGTAAAGCTATATGAAATTTAAATAACGACAAAAAATATTATCTGTGTATTTTTGGCTGTCTATATTATAATATTCAATAACTTCCTTGTCAAACAAAATATTATACACACTGAATATTTTATTTGTTTACTTGTTTATTTAGAAGAAGAACATATAAAAAATGTGTACTTACTTCACGAAGAAAAAATGCTTATCGATCCAGACAGCTATCGTATGCAAAGTTACTTTGCATAAGCTAAGATTATTAACTTGTATTTGCTAGATTTATTTCCTGCTTTATTACCAGCTCGTCGATCTAAAGAGGATGTTTCAGAGAAAGTGATTTAAATAAAGCTTTCCTTGAACATTTTACAAAGAAATAAGACATTGTGTTTTAGTCATTAATCTCGAAACTAATGTAAATGTGAATATCAACTGACATTTCTTTTAGAAACGTATTTCAATAGAAAAAATCTATGGACTTATTAGATACCTTAAAAAAACTTCACACGTTCTAATTTATAGATAAACATAGATTATAACAATGTAAATTTAATAGTCTAAAATATTTATACACTCAGAAAATATTTAGTAGATATTTATATATACTTAGTAGTATTATACTTATATTATACTTTTTTTGTTTCAAAGACCTTTGTTAAGTTTTCCTTCGTTAAGAAGAATGACATTTGGAAACTGCTAAATGTTTTTCACCGCTCAGTCTTTATGGTCTGTACAGATTAACGTCATTATTTGCATATGGGTCATTCTTTTACAACTCGGACACCTTTTTGACCTCATGATCTCCGATTTGGCTGAAATTTGGCTGAAATAAGAAGACCTCGGGAAAAAATTTTGTGTTTTTTTTCTTAGGAGATATGGATCCATGGGGTTTTGAGAATTGGCATAGTAGACACATTTTCAAATGGTTATATCTCAAGTTTTATAAAAGGAAGAAACTTGAAATTTACAGCGTTTCAAAGATGATTGATTGAACTTTTATGAAATTGTTTAGACAATTAAAATTGTTAATGTTTAAGTACTAATATTAACCGTTAAATTTCAAAAGTAGTTTTTAAATTTTCATTTTTTATATTTTATTTAGATTTAGTTTTAAATTTTACTACGAAATAAAAAGTTTCAGCAAACCATTATTTTTTGAAATGTTTTAACATAATATTTATTTTTCTTCAGCAAAACACATCAAGCACATGCGAACTGCATTTCCATTGAATGAATTTTCAAAGAATATACTACATATATTCTTATATAATATTTTTGATTTCGATTAGTAATAAAATTCTACATAAATATAAAACATTTCAGGACGATATTGTAATTAGAAATACTTTTAAAAATTTATTTATCCTTCATATCACACCAAACACATACACACGATTTTTCAGTAAAAAAAAACAAAGAATATGTCACACAAATTTTTTTTTTAGTTTTGATTCAAATTAATATATAAATTCTACTTCAAAAATAAATATTTCGACTGTGATATTCATTTTAGAAGTAATTAAAAAAATTAATTAATCAGGTGTCCTTTGCGTTACTCATACGCACCATAGTACCATAAAATCAATTTTCGAAGGAAAACTACACAAAAATGTTTACTTTTTATTTTTAAAATAAATGTATACATAAAATATTAACATTTTAAATTAGTTCCGCATTATTTCTGTTTTTAAATGATAAATTTTAACATAATTAAACCGTTTAATAAATTATTTTCTTATATAGATGAATTAAAAAGTTAATTAGTTTCATACTAGCCGAACTACCTAGAAAACTGCAGCACATAATCACAACTATCTTTCTCGGTGCAGTGTTATTTTGCTACAGTTGGAAAAATACTCTGCACAGGAAAAAAATGTTATAGGAAAAAAAATAAATCGATATGGAGAGTTTAAGTACTTCTATCTTATAAATATACTGGAATCAAATTAGGTATAAATTGTTAGGTAAGTATGACAAGTTCTCAGTTTCTGTTTTGAAAGCGAACAAACAAATAAGAACATTTAAATAATGGCAAAAGTTGGAAAAAATAATATGAATCTACGCCAATTGAAAGACTTGAAATGTTTCAATCCGCTGAAGTTAAAAATGCATCCAAAAAAGGCCAAAGTAAGGCAAGTTTCAGATTATATTCGCATATGTTGCGAATGCCTACGACTAAAACAAATCTGGAGAAAAAAATATGTAATAGTTGCCTACTCAAACTGTAGATGAGGGCCAAAAATAAAAAGAAAAATGAAGGAGGTACATCGGCAAACAATAGCCAGTCATCGATCGAGGAAAATATTCAACCAGCAAGTAGTAGCAGTTCGGCCACATAAGAAACTGAAATCAGAAAAAGTGCTCTTAGTCCACTAAACAAAGCACTCTCTCTAATAAGAAATCCCCCAATTACATCAAAAAAACTTAAACAACAGCAATATAAAAATGAAAAAATAAAGGATATAACTGAAGCGATTAAACATAAAATTTTCGAAATTCCTCCCTATGAATCCAATAAAAGCGATGAAGAACCAGTTTTAAAAAATCTACAGGAAAAATTCAATGGCACAACAGATTGGACGATGAAAATAAAAATATTGAGTGTGGTACATAATTGGTCTTTTCGAAAAATTATGACTCACTTCCCAAACGCTACAAAGCACATGATTTCTGTAGCTAAAAAACTTGCTTCAGAAAAAGGAATCTTAGAATACAAAAGGAAATAGTCGAAAAACACAAATAATTGAAAGAAATAATTAAAAAATAATTATAAGAATTTAAAAAAAATTAAAATTACTTAAAAGATAAAATAAAAAATGTGGTACAGTTTTAGTATTATTTTGAGAAAGTGTTTTAAGTATTTAAATAAGTTGTTCGCAGAGATTAGTTGGTTGATCGAAGCTATTGGTTTTTTAAATACTAAATATTACTTATAACTAAATTTAACTTTTAAGACACTATGACATAGTGTTTATGTAAAAGAAACGAACTCAGAAATGACATCACTGCGTAACACTAGTCATGTGTTCAAGGTATCAATTAATTCATTTTATCAATCTGTATGGTTTACTTAGAAGATTGGTTTTATATAATGAAGTAAGTATACATAATAAGTGTTGATAATCTATGTTTCATGTTAAACCATGCAAAGATCAGTGGCACTTAATTTTAACTAAATAAATTACAAAAATATTAGTTTTCCTAATGTAAGTGTTATTAGCTATCAACCGCTATCAAAACCGCTATAATAAATACACTTTAATGATTATTTTTGTAAGACTTTTATTTCAGAATACCCACCTTAAAAAATAATTATTTGCTAGCAATAAATAGGACAATATTTATTTAAAATTAACATCTGAGAAAATTTATTAAATTTCTTTTAAAAGATTTTTATAAATGTAAACATATTTATACCATACGAGTATAACCAATAAGTTTTCACATGGATAAAAGTATACAAATTTTATCATACTGTGTTCGGTAGTTTGGTTCCGTTCGCTACTATAAATTATCGCTCACGCCCATGAGTAATAAATAAACAAAAAATCCGATTGTTTTTCTTAAAAATTCTTAAGCTACTTTGCCTTGGAAAATTTTATAACAAATAATATTATTAATAACAATATTTCGAAAATAAATGATCAAAACAATTAAATTTGTATTATTCATGCTTCCTGAAATATGCTCAATAATTCCAAGATATTTATTGTTTCTATTTGTTTGGTATTTGTTTTGTTAAAACAATAACATTTTATGGCCTATTTTTTCATTAATACTATGCGTATATAAACATATATGAACACAATATATTTCTCAAAAAGAAATTTTTAAAAATAGGATTCCATCAATTCCATTAGCTTAAAAATTTGAAGTCCCGTTTCCATTATAATAAATGGACAGTCAGACGGTCTGAATGGTCAATAGTAAACCGACCCACCCTTTTCTGCTGATCATAAATATATATACTTCTCCATGTTTTTTAGATTGCGTTACAAATATATTGATAAATTAAAAATATCAGTATGTGAGGAGATTAAATTGGTACAACCAAAATATAAAATTAAATTACATATACATTAAATAAAAATATATCTTAATAAAAATATATCTTATCTTAGTTGATATGAATATTCTATTCATTCTTTGTAAGAGTTTTTATAATCAAAATTGAAATTAGAATATTATCTTCCACTAATTATACACATCAAATTACGAGGTATTTGCTTAAATTATTATTAAACACTACCCATACATTCACGAGTAATAATAATCTGGTGATCAAGTAGCAATTTATAACCTGAAGATCAAATAACCTAAAATTGTTTAGGAAAACTAAGAGAATAAGAAGCCAATGTCTTGAAGAAAAAGTTTTAGGGTTGTATATTGTAATGAATCATGAATTTAAAGTAACATCATCCTTCAATTATGGTATATATCTTAAACCGATAGGTGTTGCACCTATCGGTGCAATTATGTATCTTAGGACACATATAATTACTTGAAGTCATTCATTTCTACTATAATTTATTTATAATATTAATATACAAAAAATTTACGATATATTTACGTAAAGTACTGGTAAAAGACTTGTTACCTTCATGGTTCTGGAGAAACTACAAGCATAAATTTTACGCAAGATCTTTATGTGCAACAGAAGTCGAAGAATATTCCGTTCGAATAATGCGCTTCAGTAAGGAGATGCGTAAAAAGATTGTGTAGATCAGCTTGTCCAAATGGTATTCGCTTGTAATTAGAATCAGTGGAAATGCTTATTTAACGAAATAGTGACTAATATCGATTACATTACCGATTAAAATAGTAAGCAACTTTCTATAAACCACAGTTTAAAAACAATAGAAATATTAGTAAGAAAAATTAAAAAATATTTTTTTTTAACTTACATCAATACTTTTGTTGCTATCTGGCTTTTTTGTGTTGGTTTTATAAGTTGTGAAGTTAATCTCTGTGTTTACATTGTTGCAAGCCATTGTGTAACAGCTTCACTGTTTATCCATACATCAGTATTAACCACCATTGCGTCTGGACATATTTGTGGTCGTAATCTGTTAAAGATGTCTAAGTCTAATTGGCGACAAGAGATGTGACCTAGTAAAATATTGTCCAATTCGCTGCGCATATAAACATATACTTCTATGAGTTCGGGTTCTGGTGAAGGCATTGTTATTATTATCACCGTTGATTCATCAACTGTATTAATGATGGGAGCTAATAAAGTCCCAAAATTGCATTTATTGAACATTTCTAGAACTTGTGCATCAGTCATTAGATTTATATCTTGTGACGCCATGATGAGAACTAAAAATATTTGATTTATAAAAAGTCTACAAAAACTGCACATTTATATTAAATAAAACAACTCACTTTATGTCCTTTAAACTTCGCAGCTCACCCAAGTTTTTCTCTGAAGTTTCGAATACGTCTATTGATCTGTTGTGCGTGGTCTATTTTTTTATCTTGTGCTATTAGAACATTTGCAAAAATATATCGTTTATACTAAAATTTTGTTAAGTCCAAAAAAGTATATGTGCATTTTAACTTTTAAATTTTAATTGAATGTTTAATATTTTGTTATTAACATGAAAGTAAAAAATGACAGGTTGCTTTGTTTATTTTTTAATATATATATAAATATTTTTTTATAACCAATATATGGATTTATTGATTTTTTTTGTGATTTATTCATTAATTGTAAAATTGATTACAAAATTATATTACAGATTTATGGTCATTGAGATACTCAAGAGCTCTAATAATAGTCACCTCTGGTGTTCCATTCAAAATAGCGCAAGTACTCTGTCTCATTATTTTTACCTTTTTGGCTTTATATCCCTAAAAACTAAGATGCAAATAGTTACATATCGTCACACTTGTAAACAATAACTAATAAATGACTGACATCACCTGACTGTGTTGCCAGCAGTTTGAAAATTATAGCAGCTTATTTAAAGCTTCTGCAACAAGCCTTTAACCTGTTTTAATTGGGTTACATTGCAAGTTTGTACACTCGTGTAATATAAACTATATAAACCCAACCTAATTTAAAATCTTTTTTACAGAGTGTACAATTATTTATACTCAGTTCAGTTTTCAAAGTAAATATTTGTGTTATTTAGAATTTATGAATGTTTAGGTTTTAATTATGGCATTACATGACTAAGTAAACTAATATTCGCATAAATCTTAAACACTCAGGGGTATCTTTACATAGCAAACAATTATAGTTTGAAAATTTATGCAACCATTAGCAACGAAATGCGAGTAAATATTTATTTATACAAAATACGGGTACACTTTATACATTTGTAATTATCAAGAAAAATTAACTTTTACCATTGAAAATTTTGGATAGACATAATTTCATTGGAAGTCTGATTTACTATAATTTAGGATGTTCAATAATATTTAATATAAAAAACAGGAAATCAATTTTAAGCTTACTTTGGACGTCTATATTATTCTGTTATTCTGTTATCTCTGCGAAATTTTACTGTATTAAGTTATTTAAAGCGTTCACGTTAATTTAATCCATTTATTTAATAAGTTAAAAGATCTATTAAAACTGATTCCATTTGGGGTATGGTTTAGTAGCTCTCTTAAAACTTTCAAAGAACTTTCCGATACATAACAGTTCTTGAGTGATTTTTAAGGAATGGACGCCTTGTAGTCAACAACCTGTTACGACGATCACGAGTTATGCTTATTTCCGATCTCAGCTCTGCACAATAGGATTTTCATTGTTGTTAGGTCGTGCTCGTTTAAATTTTTAGTATATATTTCTCTGTTGAGTATGTATTTGCAATTTCATTTTTTTGTATATTTTGGTACTCTGAAGCCCAAATCAGTAATATTATGCACTGACTATTCATTGACCTCAGTTAAGTTTTCCAGTGTTTGTATTGTGGCAATAATACATTAATTTTTTAGATTTTCTACTGAAATTAACCGACCTATTTTCTCGACAGCAAAGACATTGGTTTAATAAACAATAGACCCGATATATTGAGTTGGGTTCCTATTCGAAATCAATGACATTCTTTACACATTTTATTCCTGATTGCAGAAACAATTGTATTGATTGAAATAATGCTCCTTTTAGGTTGAAATCTAATGACCACATGGTAATCCTTTATTGTGGAATATCATGGTACAATCAAGTCAAAAAATAATCTCTTATTTCAATTCAAATTTTTTTAACATTACATATTTAGTTTTTTCTTCGTCGTTTTTAATTACAACTGTAAAATTATCGTTTTGCACTTCATGAAGTTGACATGAAGTGACAATTGACGTCACGGCAAAGTCTACAATGAGAAATTAAATTCAAAAACAAAATTTCTTTATTTATTTACGGACATCAAAAGTGTCAATTTAATTATAATTTATTGTGAAATCAGAGATGATACATTACAGAATATGTACTTCGAGCTACCCACTAATAATAATCTTTTCTTATATGGATTTAGAAAACCGCATACGAGTAAATCTAGAATAATCATATTATACATTATGTTGGACTAAAGCATATGTTATGACGTCAGTATGAATTTGCATATACCATATACTAATATAAATGAATTCTTTTTATTACTAATTACATTTTAATGCCAGTAAATCTGACATGCAAATTCAGTATATAGCAACGAAATATAAGAGTAACTTTTTTAGTGTAAATCGATCTTAAATCGAATATAGTATTTTTAACACAAGTATCTGTACTTGTTCAGAAATACATAGTAAAACATCTGCACATTTTATGTGGTCATGCTCTGTCGCTTGCAAGTGATCGCTCGAGTCAGTATACTTCACCGATTTTAGTTTAACTGACAGAAATCTAGAATTTGAAACTAAAGGAAGGATATTGCATGGTTTATCAATAATCTACATCTATTAGTGCTGTAGGGTATTAGATTAAGAATTGATCAGATAATTAACAAAATCCTTCTAATAATATGTTTCCACTGCTTACTTAGTAAGTGAAACTTATAATAACCATACAAAGAGTTCTGCGGTTTTTAACTTACGTTCCTTAATAAAAAAGGAAAGTGAGGCCAAAAATGTCGATTGCAATCCTTAAAAATAAATTTTCCACAACGGAAGTTACCGAAATTTAAAATATTTATCATATGCTTTGTATGTAAAATGTAAACAAACAACAGCTGAACTGTAAACAAACGTACTGAGTATGTGAGTATTTAATAAAATCTTTGTTTATATTAATTGAATACGTAATAGATTTATAAAATATTTATATATGTAAATAATTTAATACCATATATCAACAAAGCATTTCATTTCTTGTTTGATATATTAATGAGTAAAATTTTTCTAAACAAGCAGAAGCTCTCTTAAAAGTTTCAAAGAACTTTCTGACACATAACAGTTCTTTCCCATGCAATGAGTGACTTATGTCAAAAAATGGAAACGACAAAATCTTAAAAATACTTAAGTAACTTACTAAGTACGCAGTGGACAAGAACGCATTGTATAAGTAATGTATAGTAGTATAATATATATATACATAAAATTTTCTATCAGAATTCCTATATATATACTTTACCACCAGTTTCAGTTTCTAACTGCATAATTTATAAATTTTGTGTGTTGAAATTTAGATTTTTACAATATCTAATTAATATTATTTGTTCTTTTACCAGAAGTGCAATTTCTATTGCTTATATATTTCTCTTGAGCAGAGTGGAAAGTGGTCGGTAAGGCTATATGAAATTTAAATAACGACAAAAAATATTATCTGTGTATTTTTGGCTGTCTATATTATAATATTCAATAACTTCCTTGTCAAACAAAATAATATACACACTGAATATTATATTTGTTTACTTGTTTATTTAGAAGAAGAACATATAAAAAATGTGTACTTACTTCACGAAGAAAAAATGCTTATCGATCCAGACAGCTATCGTATGCAAAGCTACTTTGCATAAGCTAAGATTATTAACTTGTATTTGCTAGATTTATTTCCTGCTTTATTACCAGCTCGTCGATCTAAAGAGGATGTTTCAGGGAAAGTGATTTAAATAAAGCTTTCCTTGAACATTTTACAAAGAAATAAGACATTGTGTTTTAGTCATTAATCTCGAAACTAATGTAAATATGAATATGCTTCACATCGACTGTAAGATATTCAGTCAAAAAATATCAACTGACATTTCTTTTAGAAACTTATTTCAATAGAAAAAATCTATGGACTTATTAGATACCTTAAAAAAACTTCACACGTTCTAATTTATAGACAAACATAGATTATAACAATGTAAATTTAATAGTCTAAAATATTTATACACTCAGAAAATATTTGGTAGATATTTATATATACTTAGTAGTATTATACTTTTATTATACTTTTCTTGTTTCAAAGACCTTTGTTAAGTTTTCCTTCGTTAAGAAGAATGACATTTGGAAACTACTAAATATTTTTCACAGATTAATGTCATTATTTACATATACTCAGTTGCTACTCAGCAGGAAGACTTGATTTCCAAAGGAAAGATTGTAGATTCATGATTTTTGCATGACTGTCTTGACTGTTCTCATGCTTATAAGATAGGATTGAAAATTAAAAATAACTCCATAGAACATACTTAAAATTTAGAAAGATTGTCTTGTAATTATTCTAAAACAGTGATGACACACTTTATTTCATTCGGTGTCGTTAAACTAAAACCTCTTACAATTATTGTACTGATGGTGAAAATTTTATGATCTTATTGTAATGATGTTACAAGACTTATAAGACTTACAAACCTATTGTATAGACTGGGGCTGTTCAGACGAGATAAGATCGCGGTCTAATTTAAATCACTAAATAAGTTGGAGGGCTGCAGAATTAAATACATACGCTTATAATTTCAAGAAAGTTTCAACATGTTTCAAGAAAGTATGAAAGCTTTAATGTCGACATATTTTTTGAAATATAAATTCAATTTTTAGAAATAGTTCACAAAACTTATTAATAATTTTTTGTCGGTTAGTAATTGATAAATAGTAATGAAGAATTTTATAAATGTAAGGAAATGTAAATATAAAAATAATCAAGACATGCTTTAGTTTAACCAAAAAAATTATTATTAACAAAAACAAAATACAAAAAATAAATTATAACAATAAAAAATTTAAAAATTATGATTAAGCACAAAATAAAAAACAGTTTTATCAAAATAAAAAGTTCACTAATACTAAAAATAAAAAAAAAATAATTAAATTCGTGGTTAATCAAATTGTCTTAAGTTCTTTCGATTCATTGTGGTAATTGGTTATCCAATGGTATTTCAGCAGCCGACTTGATTTATATTTCTGGCAATCCGTCAAAAGGTTTTTACTGCATTTCTTTAGTTTAAAAAAGAAAGCATACTTATTCCAAATGTCTGATAAATCGGCAGTTCCTTATCGCCGATTTACACCATTATTACTCATAATAAAATTACATTTCATTTCTGTATCCTTTGGCACTAAGGTGTTGGTTCTAAAGGAGTTATTAGTGTTGAATTCAACATCCGCAACGTTATGGGAACTGTTTTAAGAATGAAGTGAAAAATAAGTTTAAATTTAAGTATCTACACTGCTTACAATGTCGGTTGAATGAATGCAATTAACCACGAACATCGTATGATAGCGATTGTATTAAGTATATTGTTTATTGCAAATCTGCAGAAGATCTGGAATGCTCTGATGTCCATTTCATCAGCCACACTGTCAACTACTTACAAAATATATTTTACTGATTTAGCTTTAAAATTAATGGTGAATCGCTAACTAATATAAGTTAATCAAAATTATACATACGTTTATGGTTCTGGAGTTGATACTGATTTGAGTTGATAGCCAATTTATTGAAAATATAAAAGTGGATCAAGTCGTGTGCGGCCATATAACAAAATCCATATGTTACTTCCAATATAAATGTCAAATTGAATATCATGAACAAATAAGGTACAAATTAAACTCAAACACAAAATTTGTGTTGTTATAAACCTGTAAATCTGCAACTTGGAAGCATTCGAATCTGTAAAAAAGAATTTTACTGAATTGTATGTCCGACAAATACTTTGCCAAGAGTGGCGTTGAAAAGTTACCTTGATTATGAACTTGGTGTGTATTCTGAATTTAAGACTTAAAAGCATGTTGAACAAAGAAAATAACGTGAAATAAAGAGAAGTTTATGTACAAATTTCATCAGATCAGACATAAATAGGAATTTAATTTTTGCAATAGCATATATGCCAGTCCTTGTCATCCAACTGATTGCATATGTCGCACTGATAATGAATGGAAGCCACATCTCTACTGAATTCCGTATATAACCAACTATGTGTTATCTCTTTAGCTACTCTTGTTCCATACAATTTAATCAATATTTTTTCCGGCTCTTCTCTTTTTGGTACCAAAAGTGCAGTCAGAAAATCTCGCCTGTAACTATTTAGTAACTGAGAAGTGTTTGACATGCCAAATACACTAACAGCTTCAGAACTCGATATTAATTGATGTAATCTTGAATTTGTTACCGAGCGGATATTTTTCAACTTCAAATATTGCAATCTTTTTAGTTTCATTATAAAATTTAATAAAGTATCTGTAATATCGCAGTCTATAGTTAACTTCATTAACCTGCGGTAATTAAAGTAACGTTTCCGTGCTCCATTCAGAATCAGTGTAGTTGGTTGTTGTATACGTAACTCCTGCAAGTAAGATGTATTGTTTAGGTTCTCAAACAATTCATCTTTTACATTATAATGATCATATACTGTTAATGATATGAGCTTCGGTATGTATGCTATGATTTCATAGTGTACGTGTGGCTGCATTATTTTCAATTCTTTGAGTTTTTCACACAAAAAAGTCATTTCGGAAAAGTTGATATATTCAAGACTCCTACACCAACGAACATTAAGTTTTCTTAAATGTTTTAAATTTCTGCAAATTTGAGTAAAGTAAAAAGCGCTGAGATTTCTGCAGCCTTCCATATCTAGATCAAAAAGATTGTTACAGAGGGCTATGTATTTTCCAGTTATTAAATGATTTTTAGCGAGTGAAAGTGATTGTAAATTTTGCAGATGTCTAAAATATTTGACACATTTGTCCGTTATATTGCACTGCACTAATTCTAGCGTTATAACATTCGCAAAATATTGTTTTAGTTTCATAGATTTGAATAAATCTTTGAAAGGTACATTCAGTATGTTACTGCACGAAAAATTTATGGCGAATGGTGCGACCATTTCAAAGAACATCATAGCATCTTCAATTGTAGCGTTTTTTAAACCACGTAAATTGATATTTTCATAACTTTCTTCACATATCCACTTTTTATGAAAAGGCATTCTGTCGAATGCACTCAGAAAGGTTACTTGATCATTTGCGCTCATTTCATTGTAAATGGCCTTTATGCAATTAATATTCAGTTTAGCGTCCATATTTTGATATGGACTCTAAGTTTATTGAACGCGAATTACAGATAATCTATACAGATAATTTAAAAAAATAAATAAAAAAAATCAAAGTTAATAATGAAGCAATCTTAATATTAAATGGTTAGTGTAAAAAAGAAATTAATTTTCTACTTAATCAAAACAAACTATTTTTACAAATATTGCGGTGCAGTGAAGGAGAGACTGAATATCGGAAACTGTATAAACTAAAAGGGTTATCAGATAAGAGCTATATATTTTTCATTTTTTTCCCAAATTATCTGTGTCCCAAATTATCTATGTTGAAATTAGTAACGTAGCTAGGGGAAAAAAGCATTTATTATAAAGCTATACCAAATTGATTATTAATTTTTGTGGTCACAAACATGTGATATTTCTTGTCTGCCAGAATTAATAATTTTGTTTATTACGAAGCTTTTTAAACATAAACATAAACGAGCTAAAATACCAAAAATAATTTTTTTATTAAAAATGAATTTGAAGTTATGAATTTACTCTAGAGCAGCATCAGCTTCATCAATCTAGCCCAAATGGTTTCATAAGTTTTTATAAGAAATATTCCATGCAGTGCTATAAGTTCCTAAGAACTTTACAAACTTTGATTCGCAGCATGATATTATCAACAGTACGAGTAAGTTCTAGTTTATGATATGAAGCTCTATGGATTAATTATGTTGATTATAAATTTCTTGTAATGTATAAACAATAATTCGTGTGGATTAGTTATATTTATAATAAATCTTAACAATTTTCGTATGTTGCGCAGCTATCTGTACTATATAATAAATTTTATATATATATTATATATATTCTGTATTAATATAAATTTTGATGAGAAACTTCTAAAAAAAGAAAAATCGTTACGACATTTACGAAAAATATAGTACTGATTACGCACACTTGCAAACAATAGAACCAGCACTCTACCTCAGAGGCGCAGACCCAGTAATAGTAAAATGAGTAAGCAATATTCTAAACTAAAGAAAGATCAAAGTTTCTTTAAGATAAGTCAATCTTAGTGTTGCAACAGTGAAAAGATGTGCGTGGAGAGAGTACTCTCTTTTAATATCTAATAGCATAATACAAATCTTCAACAACAGAGAGTGGGTATGCAGACAATATATCAGTAATTATCACAGGACTATTTGGGACGCCCTGAGTACAACATGGCAGTAGTGCAGGAAGAATTAAGAAGAAGAATTATTAATTAGTCTTACCAAAACCACCATTCTCCCATTTACCAGGAAAAGGGCATATGACACTCCCATTTTAACAATAAATGAGATAGAGGTACCCCTAAATGAAGAGGTAAAATATTTAGGAATCAAACTGAATAAAAAACTCACTTGGGAAATACACATCAATTATGTAATCAAAAAGATTATGAAAGACCTTTGGACTACAAAACAACGTCTAGGAAAATTCTGGAATTTGAGCCCCATAGTGGCTTAGATCTACACCCAAAGGGTTATCATACCTATCATACTACATGGGGCATTGGTATGGTGAGGAAGAACTGTAGAACCAACAGATTTGTCAAAACAGGTGCAAGTAATCGTATTCAATAATTGATGATCCTAATATTGCAATTGAGATTAAAGAACGATCGATCTAACACGCTAATATTATTAGCTGTGTGGATCTTTTAGGTAGACGATTTAACAAAAAAAAATTTACATGCAATTAAATAATTTTAAATATTAAAACTTACATGAAACGAATGTTGTCGTGGTAATTGGTTCAAGAATATGCTGAAAAGAGAACTACTTTTTAAAATTTATTTATTTAGATTAGTAAATTTGTAATACTTGTAGCAGTGTCCAGTATGATAAAATTTCCACAAAACAAGTGAAACTATTCGTCCTATAAAAAACTGAAAACATAAAACATATTTACTGCAATTAGATTTGAAAATTTTGATTTTAAAAATTTCAAAGGTAACTAAATGAAATGAAATATTGAAAATATTAAATAAAATATTGTAGATTATGCAGTACAAAAAAGAGTTTACATCCAAATCAAATATTCTTCGAAATGTTTTTGGTTTAAAGAGTGAAGTTGGGATGTTAATTTATCTTAATGGAGTGTTTGAGAATTCTGTTGTAGAAAAAAATGAGAATTTATTTCTGTAGGCATTTCTATGTGTAAGACTCAAAAGTAATTTAAAACAATCGAGATATTTTACTAGATTTGCAAGATTACCCTGAAATCGGTAGCTGTTTTTCATTATATGTATTTATAAAATATATTAATATCTACTAACACTACTAAAAAATGTTAGATTACTCTAAAAATGTTCAATTGGGAAACAAAATTTGACAAACCGAGAGTAAATCTGGTTCAATCAGGATTGAATTCAGATTTACCAATCGTTAACACTATTACTAATACAAAAACTATTAATTAGTCAAAATTAGATTTAATAAATTCAGGTATTTTTTATATAATTATTCAATTATAAGAAATTAGACTATTACTGAATATATCGATAAACAAATGGTTCTAAACATCGCTCAGTAAACGTTCCGCTAGATATTCCTTGAGATAATGATTTATTACTCGCTTAGTTAAAGAGAAGAAAATACAGGTGGAATGTTTACAAAACATCTATATTTCTGCAACAGTCGGTACGGAAATAAATAATAATCTCAAAGAAAAGAAACAGCTATGGAAGAATCACAATATTTTCAAATAGATGAATGTAAGACTGAAAAATTATAGAATTACAATCAAAACTGATATTAAATTTCGTAAAATGAAATGGCTAGTTGATCAGTGTTCTGAAATTAAAAGCGTACAAAAATGCACAACAACTGAGCGCTTTATCAGAAAGTAAAATTAACAACGGATGTATGGAGAAGCAGCACATATAGCATGTAACCACCGATCAGGATCATATAAAGGCTAGTGGATGAAAAAACAAAAATGTATGCTTTTATTATTTAATGATCACTCAAGAGAGAATATAGAAAAATTCATCGAATGAAATGCTAAATTATTGGATCATAAGATGTTCAGAGGTGTGATATTGCAAAACCCCAGAAGTCTGTTGAAACTAACAAAATGCTGACTAAATTCACAAAAATAACAAACGATGTTAGACCGTTTGTTTAATATCTAAATATCGATATATTGGATAAAATGTTCATCTATTTGACATGCTATTTAACAAAATTGGTTAGACCGGGAAAGAGCCGAAAATAACCGTGAATTAATTAGTTTAAGGAATTATAGTTTATTTAAGTTAAATTCTAAAGGCTTTTCACAATCGTTTAATTATAACATACGAACAAGTGTTGAGCCGAACACAAGTTCGCTTCAAACAAGTGAGGGAACGTGTAAAGCTTTATGGTTAAGAAATCATGTTCCATACGTCATTCCGTCCACACAATGGCTTTCGAATTCGCCAGATGCAAATTCGTTGCACTATTCAATCCGGACCATTTTGAAGAGCAAGGTGAGGACTAAAAAATATGCCAGTAACGATGCTCTGAAGAAAATCATTTTTCAGGAATGGGCAAATTACCGGAAGAACACATTCGTAAAGCATACCACTCATTTTTTAACTGTTTAAAGGCCATGGTCAAGGCAAAGTCTGGACATATCGAGTTGAATTTTTGAAATTTGAATTAGTGAAAAAGTAATTTCACATAAAAAAGATATGATCGCTTAAATAGATAACACATTAATTATCTAACCCTGCATTATGATTATCTTTTATATCTTAATGATACATTAGATGTAACTTTTTTAAGTTTTTTTTTTTGAGTAGGAGAATTAAGCGAGAATTTTTCAAAGGTACTACCATAATATAATCGACATGTGAAAAGTGTTTTAAATATTGAAAAGTCATTGACATCTGTATATAATCACATACTACTTTAATAGGGTTTTTGTTATTTCATTTAGTAATTCTACCACTTAATCACAAAAGATATTTAGCTGAAAAACCTTCTAACTAGTATTAAACTGTTAAATAGTAATAATTTCGAATCGATAAGTATAATATATTATATACAAATACTAGAGAGAGACTGGAAATTAATGAAACTACCATATATTTACAGTCAATGTTATGTATGCAGGCTTGTTAAAAATTTAAAATTGATAGATCTTTATTAAACTTAAATAAACAAATAATCAAATAATAATATTAAAATAACAAAATAATTAAATTTAAAAGGAAATTTGCTTACCTTTTTCATAAAAATGAATAATATAATACATGATATTGACATTTCATACGTAATTATTTTATAAAATCACACTTGGAAAAAATTTAATGTTTGTGGCAAATTATAAAAAATATTCGCAATTACATTAGTTGTGACGTCACTAATTCACATTTATCATTCCATTCTCGTTGATACTACTTTATAATCAAGTTAGCGACGTCATGTGATTACATGTTCTAATCATTTTGGGGTCTTGTCTCAAATCAAATATAATTGAGTGTTGTCATCTTCACTCATAAATAAACATTGTCGCTCGAAACCTAAGTAACTCCCACAATATTTAAGTAAGTAAGTAGTATCTAGACACGTTTCGGTTAGCAGAATTCATATATACATGTATATATGTACCTACCGTTGTATGTAATCCAATGCCTTTTTTGTCGTCATAATATTTAAGAAATAAACAAAATAGACTGAAAGCATAAACAAATCAAAAATAGAAATATAAATTCAGAATTAAAAATCAAGAAAAATTCGTTACTAATATTAATAATTATGGAATTTGTATGTTGTTTGCAATTTTTACGTCATTCTAGTTTTTGCTGTTACATTGGTTCGCAAATCTTTAAGATAGTTTTTATAGACTCACTGTCTTTAAAAAGAATTAATTACTCTCTGATTACTGAGAATTACTGATTTCATTGAATAAAATTGATTAAATTAACAAAAATATATAATATATAAAGTTTAATTAGTTTTGTCAAAAAGCTGCGCTTTCTTATAATGACAAAGAAACTATATTTTTTTAAATTTTGAGGGAGGGTTTCGAATAGCAAGGAAAGAAAAGACAAACACAAAAATTTTAGTTAATCTATTAAAATTTAGCTGATCATACAACGCTGTTTTGAATATTACTAAGAACTCATCATCAGTGGTCTTAGGAAATATTCGAATTTTTTAATTAGTTTATAGTCCGTATATAATTTGTTTGGACTTCAACAACCGATAAGTCATCGATTTTAATTTGACAGGCACACGTTCTAAGTTGACAGGCACTTGTAGTTCAACCAAATTATATACGGACTATTAATTAATTAAAATATTCGATTTTCTAAAACCACTGATTATGAGTACTTGGCAATACTCGAAACAGCATTGTATCGTCAGCCAAATTTCAATAAATTAACTAAAATTTATGTTGGTGTCTTTTCATTACTATTTGGAGCCGTCAATATTTTAAAAAATATATATATAATATTACGTAACATTACTTAAGTTATTAATTGCATTTGGTAGTTTCGATAATATCTTTTAAAGTGTGAAAAAAGTTTTCAACTTTTTATAATTATTATAATTTTTATTAATTCAACTGAAAAACTAACATTACAAAATTTTAGTTATTAAACATTTTCTTATATTTTACTCTTTTAAACTGGAATCGCCGTCTGACTGTCCAGTTGGTAGGCGTTGAGTTCTACAGTAATTCATATCCCTTTTATGATCATATCTAATTATGTATGATCTATAAAATCTTCATCTAATCTATATATATATTATGTTTTTGTAGGTGTGTAGTTTTGTTTTATTTTTTTTTTCGTTTTCGTTAGCCTGCTTCCAGGTCTTGCTTAGGTTTATTTGTTTGCCTCTTTTTCGAAATTAGTCATTTTAGAGATCATATTTTTGCCGTTTGAGTATGATCGTAACTCAATCGGTCTATGCCGTTGTAGTTTTCTTTAGTTACTATCATCTTAGTTGTGATATCTTCAACGTTTATATCACCGACTATTGTTTCAAGTGGTGTTTCATCTGTTGCATTTGAAGATGTTATGTTTAGTGGTGTCTTCGTCTGCATCTGCATATATGCATTTCAAATCATTTGCGTTGCCAATACGGAAAAGATACTTCTGAAAACCTTCATGACCAGAAAGGATTTAGGTTAGATAGGGTTGGAGATACGTTAAAGTTAGTTTCCTTTCAAGCAATTTTTCATATCAAGATAATTAACAAAGCTATATTGATATGAACTGTTTATTGATCTACATTGCAGTAAATATATTCATAAGATCTAAATTACAGACTTAAATGCATATTTATATTTAAGTCCACACCATGTCATTTCTTAACTTTACTTATGATTTACTTAAGATAACAGAATAAATGTTGTGTCACTGCTTAGGTTTAAGCCCATAAGCGAGCTAATTCTTAATTAACTTCACAGTATCTCTACAGAAATTAAACAAATATTTGCGTTCAAAAATTCGTTATTGCACAACTTGACACCAAAAAGTTTTTATGAAATTTGGGGTGGATCTATATTCTTTTCGATGCTTTACCCGCGTGTATATAAAATATTTACTGTCTATGTTAAGCACCGAAATACAATGCATAAGTTCTCAAGTACTAAGCGATATCAGTTACAGACACAGCTAATTGAGTCCTATTAAAGTTTTAGCGTATTCGTCCCGAAATCAAAAGTTACCTCTAAGAGATAGTGAAATCGTAATAGCATTCCTTGTCTGATTGTGTATGCACTATAACGAGGACACTCTGCTTCTTTAATAATTGCTGGTTATTGTAGTATTAAATAATATCAAAACATAAGATAGGTGTCAAAGTAGGCTTTAAACCAAAAGGTTTAACATGCTAATGTAATCGTATTGTGTATTATAAAGTAGGTTTTATGTATTCATCGTAATTATTTTAAATAATTAGTTTACTTTTCT